ATATTTTCAATTTTTGCTGTGTTATAATTTTGCGAAACAGTGCCTAGCCTTTTGAATTTTGTTTCATCATTTAAGATGTCACATATCTTTCCAATGTAGTCACTTTTATTCAAAACTATTAATTAATAAATAGATAAAAAACAAATTAAAGTTAGCCCTTATCATTCATATGCTTATCAAGGTTTCTCTTAAATTCTCTTAATTTTATTGTCTCCACAACATCCAAAGGCAACCCATTCCAAAGGCCAACTACCCTGTTAGAAAAATATAACTCTCTGAGCAGAAGATGACTCCTACCCTGCCAAAATTTATACGTGTGTTCCCTATTCCTACTATTCTCACTGTTAATTATGAAAAAAGATAATTCATCAACACTATCAATCCCCCTTTACAATCTTAAACACCTTAATTACATTCCCCCTAACTCAACCTCTCCTCGTATGACAACCCCTCCATCCCAGGCACCATTCTAGTAACCCTTCTCTGAACCCTTTCCAACTATTCAATGTCTATTCTAAGGTAAGAAACCCAAGACTGAACACAATATTCCAAATTTGACCTAAGTAGTGACCTATGTCCCCTGGTGGGACAGCAGATAGCAGGATGTGGCTTTGCTATAAGAAAACATACATCCAGTGATCTATACAATGAAGTTATAACTTCTTTAGACTTGCATTAAATATTTCTGTAGATACAACCAAAAATCCTATTTGCTCTACCACTAGCAACAGCACACTGCTTGGATGGCTTTAGAGATTGATCAGCTATTACACCAAAATCCCTTTCTTTCATGACACTGTTAAGGTTATTTGCATCCAAATTATACTTATAATTAAAATTATGATAACCCATATGTATTATCTTATATTTATTATAATTAAAACCCATTTGGCATTAATTTGCCCAACTTACTAAATGATCTAAATCCTTTTGTAAATTAGCAGCATCTTCTTCACAGGTAGCAACACCCAAGACCTTAATATCATATTTAAATAATTTATTGACCACTCTTTCATCTATATCATTGATGTAAACCAAAAAAAGTAAAGGTCTTAAGACTAAGCCCTGAGATACCCCACTTGTGACATCAATCCAATTTGACTGAACTCCATTTGTAACAACCCTCTGTTTTCTTCCATCCAGCCATTCTTCTATCCAATTTGCTAACTTATCCTCCACATCTATAGAAATATTTTTTAGAAGCCTTTCGTGTGACACCTTGTCAAATGATTTTTGAAAATCCAGATACATCAAAACTACACCCTTATCCTCATCTACATAAGCATTAATCTTTTCAAAGAATGTCAAAAGATTTGTAAGGCAAGACTTTCCGTTAATAAAACCATGTTGACTATCCAATAAAATTCTAAACTTTGTTAAATGATTTTGCAAAGCATTTTTTTATCAGACTTTCCAAAATTTTTCCCGCAACTGATGTAAGACTGATGGGCCTATAATTACTGGGACAATTTTTATCACCTCCCCTGAAAAGAGGAATTACATTAGCTAATTTCAATTATCTGCTACCCGCCCGTTATTCAAGGACTAACAAAAATAGTACCAAGTGGCTCACATATCTTGTTTCCATCTATCAACTGTTCAATATGTGGAATACTGCTTAAGTTTTCGTTAATAAAAACCGAAGGAAAAGCAAAACTTTATAACCCAGCCAGCTCATAATCATCAGATACGAGCCTTCCTTTATCATCCCTAAAGGGTCATACCCCCATCCTAACATTTTGTTTATCTTTAAAACTAAATGCCCTCCATTGGCATAGCGGTATGTCTGCGGACTTACAACGCTAGAATCCGGGTTTCGATACCCGTGGTGGGCACAGCACAGATAGCCCATTATGTAGCTTTGTGCTTAATTAAAACAAACAAACAAACAAAACTAAATGAAAAACTTTATATGATCATATTAGCTCGAATCACCTTGGAGAATGTCCCTTATATTTTGTTTACAGTGATGTATTCTATTTGACTAATAATATGTTAGAACAAGTGTATACCGCAGGTATTATTACATTGTGCTGTAGGTCAGTATTTTACAAATTAAGATGTTTTCGTCAATAGTATATCAGTAGATCTAATTCTTCAAGTTTCATTAATAAATGTTTCAGTATATATGACACTTGTTAAGTGCATGATTTTACTTGCATATATTAATGATGGCATATTGGGCTATGATAAAACATGAGTTTTAGATAAGAAATATAAATATAGACTTGTATTAGATGTTCATACATACTTGTTAAAAATGTTATTCATATGGTGTAATTTATCATAAAAGACTAAGCTGGACATCTAATTATTTTAAATTTGATGTTTAGTTTCGACACTGATTTGTAACTGGATTTATATAATTCTTAAGTGAAAACATTATATATGTTACATAGACATTGTTTCAGAATCTATGTGAAGAAAATATGTGTTTTGATATTGTCAATATACTAATTTTTCTGAGCCTACAAAATGATATCTCACATGCATTTTGGCCCGGCATTGCCAGGTGGTTAGGGTGGTCGACTCGCAATCTGAGGGTCACAGATTCGAATTCCGTTACTCCAAACATGCGGCTTCGTGCCAGTTGGCAGTCGACTTGGGGTGAGCAACGTCATAACAAGCTTTTTCGAATCAAACCTTCTGTTGGTGTTTGGCCGTCTTGCTTCCGCAAGGATCAAAAGGAAGAAGTTGTCCTGGCAAGGCTAAGCATTGGTAACAGTTTTTTAACTCATCGTTTTCATTTATCTGGTATTGACCCACCAATGTGTAGCCTTTGTGACACTCAAGTCACAATAGCCCACATTTTACTGTCGTGCCGTCATTACGACCGTGAGCGGCGGCATCATTTTTGACACGTGTTTTTAAAATTTACCCCTGACGTTGGACAGTGTCATTGGCGATGGTGACACTGTCCAACTAGGTTGTATTTTTAATTTTTTACGCACTATTGGCCTTCTTTAACTGTGTATAAAAATTTTATCAAAATTGTGGATATAATTTGGTGTTAACTTACTGTGTTTTTACATTTTACTCTAATTTACTTTCACAGTTTTTACCGGTTGTTTGGCGCAGATAGCTTCGTTGCTTTGCGCCATAAAACACCAAACAACCAACCAACCTGCCCATCACGGGTTTCTCGCGTTGCAAGTCCGTAAACATACCACTGTGCGATTGGGGGGCTTTTATACACGGACGTTGACAATGAACTTGATAAACTTACTCTGTTCATTAGTAAAATAAAAATATTTGTGTTTATAATAAATGTTATAGGACAACTTGATATTTTCGATTTTCTTTCATCCCTATATTACATGAATGTTTCGCCAACACCCCATTTTACAACTGCTCCATCACATTACCTTGTGCACAAAGTAACACTGAAAAAATGTAAAATTAAAACGCAGCTTAGTAATAAATTTTGTGTGCCGAAAATTCTCTACAAAATTGTCAGACGCATAAAATGTAATAAAATTGGGTTTGAAATGGTACAGTGTAACAGCTTTTTTAAAATCTATATTAACTAGTCGCTTTGTTAGAACCTTCCTTCTCCATTAAAATACAAAAATAGAGTGATTATGTCATACGTGGAGTGACTAACTGAGCCCTATAAACTTGAATATATTTTTGTTTGTGTGTTTGTTTGCTTTTAGTTAAGCACAAAACTACACAATAGGCTATCTGTGCTGCGCCTTCCACGGGTATCGAAACCCGGTTTCTAGTATTATAAGTTCGTAGACTTACCACCTGCCAATGGGTACTCAATATGTACCCATATGATGGTTAGTTTGTAAGAACAAAATACAAGGATCTTTCTGACTTTTAATAAGATATGACAGTAGATGACTGTCTGGCTGGAGTTTAGTCAGCGGAGTCGATAAGGGTACTGTAAGGGTAGTTAGGCTAGGGTATGTTTAGGGGCCCTTACACGCTGATCAAAGTGACGTGTGTTATTCTTAACCTTTTTGTAAATCATGTTAACTTTATGTTCTTGAAAAAGTAAGAAAATTCAAGACAAAATTATAAGTAACTTTGACCATAGTGAGTTAACTGTATACAATCAGAAATAAAAGTAACTTCTAAATTAATGAACTGGGCGTGGCCATAATAGTTCGAATGCGGACTGTGAATCTGAGGACCCATTGTTCGCTTCCAATTGCTGCAAAATCGCGTTCTTCACTTTGGGGCCGTTACAGTGACTGTTAAGTTCTACAAATCGATTGTAGTATCTCAAGAGTTGGCGGTGGGCACCGTGGACTTACAGCATTCCTTCTAGTCTATCAGTTCAAAATTAGGGACGATTAGCACAGATAGCCTTTGTACAACTTTGCGCGACTACTCCAAAACAGACTAAGTAACGATTTAAATCAATGAAGCTAAGAAATGTATAATGTCATAATTCAATATACAAGAAAACCGAAGACTCGAAATCATTATAATTCTAGTTAGCGACATCTGTTGAGGACTTTTGTTAATAAACAGTCAAAAAATACTATCTATAATATATTATAAATGCAGCTGTAAAGATTTAAACACTGGGGGTTCGCCATGAGGATATTTTACTAACCCTTTGCCAAGTAGCTTTAGAGAAATGAAGTAACCTTTAAGGATGTGCTTTCCTGTCATCAGGTTAGTTCATCTTCATTTATTGGGAAAAACCCGCGACACTCCGAAGAGGCGGAGTCAATTAAAGTATACGCAAACACTTGTTTCCCAAGGTTAATTGTCAGGAAATTGTGTTAGCTAAGCAGGTTTACTAGAACAAAACTAAAAGTGACACACCCCTTATCAGATTTAAAATTAATAGAGAGTAATATGAAAGAGAGAAACAATGCCTATTCAAGTATCAACTCTTAAGTAACATCTCACACGGGGAAGGAGGAAAGATCGTCCTCAAAAATCGTGTCACATGACTCAGTAGATGTACTAAATACGAAAGTATATATTCGGTCAGCAGTTATGACTTAAGTGCTGAATGAAACTGACACGACGTAAGTATTAAAACAAACTTAAGATATTAATATATATATGAATATATATATATATATATAGCATCTTGAGTGTAGAACATGGTTGTAAAAAAAACGCCGGCATAAGGTACTGTAAACTGAAATGCACTTGCTCAATGATTTTGTATGTCATTAAATATTTAATTTTCCAGCTTGTACGTATGGATGCATAAATTAACCTATCCTGAATATTGTCTGTATGAATGTATAGATTAATCTATCCTGCTTATTGTCTGCGTTAATCTAACTGCACGTTGTCTGTATGAATGTATAAATTAACCTATCCTGAATATTGCCTGTATGAATGTATAGATTAATCTATCCTGCTTATTGTCTGCATTAATCTAACTGCACGTTGTCTGTATGAATGTATAAATTAATCTATCTTGTATATTGCCTCTATGAATATATGAATTACTTTAATTGCATATTGTTTGTATGAATTAATCTATCTTGCATATTGTCTCTATGAATATATGAATTACTTTAACTGCATATTGTTTGTTTGAATGTATGAATTAATCTGTCTTGCATATTGTCTCTATGAATTAACCTATCCTGCATACTGTCTCTATGAACATATAAATTAATCTAACTGCATACTGTCTCTATGAACATATAAATTAATCTAACTGCATATTGCCTGTATGAATGTATAAATTAATCTGTCCCCTATATTGTTTATATGAATTTACAGACTAATATATCCTGCAAAATGTATGCATGAATATATATAAATTAATCTAACTGCATGTTGTCTATATGAATGTAGGAATTAACCTATCCTGCAAGTCACGATATGAGAACTTTGTAAGTAATATAAAGTGTTTTATGTATCTCAACAACGTCAACATTTAAGAATTATTCTGTTTCGTTGCTATGTAGGTTGTGCATCGTAGGTAATTTAAAAATTATACCGTTTAGTTGCTACATAGAATAAACATTGTAGGAATTTTCGGAAATACAATATTTTGTTACTAGGTGCAATATGTATTATTGGAATTTTAAGAATCACGGTATTTATTTCCTATGAGAAGAAAATGTTATGATATTCATCTGCAGTTCTTCCTATAGATATCTGAAATTCAAGAATTACCATATTTGGTTGCTATGAAAATAATAGAAAAAGCCCATATTAAATAACAAACACTACACTCATCACCTGAAAAGTGTGTTCGTATTATTTAATCAGTTTTCTTTACTTGAATTTTATTTATGTTGCTAGGTGTCGCTGTCTTATTTTAAGCTTATAGTATAACTGCATTTCTCTTCAATTATCTTTCAGAATTTTAACAACTTATTATATCTTATTTCTGAGGCGGGTGATAATTTTATCAGAAAAAGAAATGAAACTGCAAACTCCGCTGTTTTTCCTCGTCCCATTTATTGTAACAGTTGGAGTTGTTTTTGCTTCCGACTATCGAACAAAACGAGATGTCCAATCTGATTTTCCAGGCTTTGATTGGCTGCAATCGTTTACTCCACTTGGAAGAGGATTTTCTTTTACTATTCAAATACCAGATTTTCAAGCCTACAGCACACAACTATTGAGAAGTATACAAGGTAAGCTTTGAAAATCAAACGTAAAAAAATGTCTAACTTTATCTTCTACCCAGAGACTCCTATTAAAAACTACAACGAAGACATTTGTTACAGTACGAACCTGTGTATGACTTTTTGTTGCCACTGTAATTATTAATTAGTAGCTATTTTTTATTTACATTTCATATATATGATTTAGTTATCTTTAGAAATAGATACTAAATAATAAGTATTTTTTATACTACGTTTCGACTGTTAGTCTGCTTCCGTCGTCAGTGAAATCCTGAGAAGGATTATTTTTATATTAGTAGTGGACGGGATTCAATCGTTCTTGTTGCATTTATTTTTGTTGTCTGTTGAATTTGGCGCTAGCCCTCCCTGATTTGGAAGTGATAGAGTAGAATGAAGGCAATTAATCAACATCAAACTACCTCGTCTCGTGGGCTACTGTGATTGGATGGCGAGATTTGACTGTCATCATGTAATACACACACACTATTCTAAAATGCAGGGCGCGATCCTCGGATCGATAGTTTGTGCTCGGCCTAGTTGATTTTCTTAATATCTGACCTCTGAGTTCTTAGTCTACAGAAGTGTATTTAGTGGTATGACAATGACTTAAAAATGATGTCACATAAACTATGCCTACCACTTCGAAAAAATAAAATAGTCAATTACCACAAATTTAAATCAGAATTACTGATGGGAGTGAATATTTCGTGGAAATGGTATAATTCAGAAGACTTGACCAAAACAAATTATAATGAATTTTTTAAAAGTTCTACTTTTTGACATCAGAAACTTCTGAAAAAATCAACTACCAACATTTGTTTATAAATACCTTCATTGTTAACATTGCTGACATACAATAAAGCGTAGCATTTTTGTATCGTTTCTAGAGTATTTCAAAATTGAAGTAAATTGAATGAATGGTTGGGATTCGAGTAACTGTTAACATTATGAGTACACCTTCAGAAGAAACGTTAATACATAAAACTTAGAGTAATTGATGACATTATCAACATCCCCTCCTGAGGGGCTCAGCGGTAAGTCTGAAGGCTTAAAACACTAAAAATCGAGTCTCGATACCCGCGATGAGCAGATTACAGATAGCCATTGTGTAGCTTTGAGTTTAACAATGAACATACAGTATCGATCAAGGAGTAGAAATAATACAACGTGTAGAGTAACTATTAACGCTGTTAGTTAAATTTTCAGGAGTAGACTTTTTACGTAATATATCGATAGTGGTTGATAACATTAACAGTAGATCACCAGGTGTTATAATAACAACGTAAGAGTAACTATTAACCCTGTTAGTAATCATTCAATAGTATACTTTCTACATAATATACATTAGTTTATATTATCATAAAACCTTCATGAGTAGGAATTCAACCAACTATTTCCATTCACCCAGTGGGTCAGCGGTAACGTTAAAATCCGGGGTTCGATTCCACGTAGTGGATAGAGTGCAAATGAACCGTTGTGTTCCTTTGCATTAAGAAGATAACAACAGCAACAACTGTTTTAAACAATTCATAACGTTGGCAGTAAATTGCTCACGAATGGAAAATATGTGTATATATAATTTCAAGTGGTTGATAAAATTATCATTAAATATTCAAAGGTAAGTTTTAAGCTTATTTCCTATAATCACTGATAAAAGTGACAATAAAAGTTTACAAAGCGAATCTATACGTGGTTTTTAGAAAGACTGAAGACAATCCAGGAAATTACATCAATTAATTTGATAAGTTGTATATTATTTTTTAATATATTACCAATATATCTCTTTACGTTGAAAAATGGTACGTGCATAACCTAGAAAAGTTAAGAAGATTACCGAAATATCTTTATTTATCACTTGGTAAGCTAGGATTGAAAACGATATGCAGTATGTAGAGGTTAAGAAGATTACCCATACTCTTTATTTATCACTTTTTAAAGCGATAGTATCCAGAGGTTAAGAAGATTATCAATACATCTAAAATTATCACTTCTTAACTAAGTTGAAAATGTTGTAAATAGAAATGATTTTCAGATAAATTTAGCACGAAGCTACACAAAAAGCTATACAGCACATACTAACAGACTTGGTAAAAAGTAATTTCTGTTCAACCACTAACACCACTATACCGGTATCTTTCTCCAATCATGCACACTGCAGCACACGCGCACCGCACGGGTGCCTTACAGAGAAATGTTTTACTGCTGTAATTTCTAAACGTACATCCGTTACAGAGTGAAGTGTTATTGGTGTGCTTTCACTGATTTCTTTTCTCAAATGATTATACCAACAAAGCAGGCTAAAGATGAAGTTACGATAGGAAAAAAAATCCCATGAATAATGCACCCTTCAGCTGCTCGGGGCCCTCATCAAGTGCTTAGTATGCTTATGCCTATCGTCGCTACTGGCCATTGACGATAACCAATTTTCTTATGCATTAACCCCCAGCATATCGTGTTGAAAACTCGTTTTACATGCCTTTGTTAAAAATGTGTGTAGTAATTACAGTAGCTTATATTCGTTGGTTAAGACAAATTGTTTGTTTACCAACGAAGGTTTTTCAGCCGCGGCATAGTGGCTCATAGAATAACTCTGGGTTGTTTTTTCAATCCCTTTCGATTGATATATTTGATCGTGACCAAGGTCTCATAGATTGATTTACTCTAATCCCGACTAAAAATATTTCAAATTGAGGGTAGGCTGGTAGAGGTCTTGATGATTAATAAAATCGAATCGGTTATACGCGTGCCCCACGCTTGGTATTGCTGACACACAGAAATGTAGTTAATAAAAAGAAAATGTAAGATCTCATATATTAATTTATTCTAGTCCTGCCTAAAAGAATTTCAAGTGCCGCAACTATTGAGGATTCCCTCTTGTTATTTTTTTTTTTAATTAAGCTCATTCTGATCTAGAATAAGAACAGATAAAACTCGCGAAATAATAATATATATATATATATATATATTAATTCGTATTCAACAACAGGTGTTCTGCAGAATATTCAATCCACCTTAGAAAGTGAAGTCAGAAGCTATCCGGATGGAACCACATCAGACGTATTTTTCGTCGACGGCATGAGATGTAATGTGAAAAGATCTGTTAGGAGAAGCAGAGAAGGAGAAGCTTTTGCATTTGCCAGTGGGTACAGTTGTGTGCCAACATAAGCAGAAAGGGTGAGGATATGTATCCCTGTAAAATAATTCTGAAAACTTGAACATACAGTGAAATGTATTTGTGTATATAATCGTATATAACAAGAACAAAAAACATCAGCGAATCGTCAACGATGAATAATGCTCTCTCTATCCCGAAGACTAATATTCTCAGCGCTGTAAGTTGCCTGCAGGAACGCGATATTTTCTCTGTCTCTCTCTCTTTTTTTTTTTAGCGTC